ACGCAATTTTTTAATGTTAAATGACCCACTTAATTAACATTAGGCTATAAAAATTACTTCACAAAAAGTTTAAATATTTAAAAGATTATACATGTCTATATTGTAATTACGAAATTTCAGTTATAGTTGGAAGTTAACAAAGAAGACTCAGTGGACCATCAACAAAGCCCACGTAGACTAATTATTCATGGATCTAGCCGCCGATGAGGTGTAACGGTGTTAATAAGGATCGTAATTAAAACATTTCGAAAGAACGAAATGTTACAGATTATAAATCGAAAGTACTTTGAAAATTTTTCGACTCGGGCGGGACTTGAAGCGGCATCGTCAGCGTTCCGTGCTGTTGCTATAACCGATTGAGCTACCGAGCCCCTTTTGATTTTTAATTAATATAGTGTCATCAAGTGCCATCGATCGCCTCTGTAGCCAAATGATTCAACGTATTGCCTAGAATTGCGTTAAGCGCGAGAGGTCCCGTTACTACTACTTGCCTGTTAAAGAACGGATCAGTTAAACCGACACAGAAATGTGTTCGCCCCACGATGGGATACGGGATTTCACACATCATGTGCAATAACATGTAAAATTTATTAAAGTTTTCAAATGTAAACGTACGTGTACGCTGTACTGTACCCTACTCTACTAAAATCTAGGACTGCTTCGTTTGTCTTTTGGTTTCGCTAATCAACAGATTCGAATTTCTTTTTAACGAACGAACAAAACGATTAGTTTTTTTAAACAAATAAACATTAACGCCCTCTTATACTATGATCTCTTGAAAAATAAGACGTTTAAAAGAAAATGATGATAAGAGTTTTAAGAGGCCCAAATATTTTACTATCTATCTATATATGTTAAAATTTTATCAAAATACAAGTTTTTACGTTGATTAACACACGCGATAAACTAAAAGAAGTTCTGTAGATTGTTTCACATACTCCGAAATATTCTCATAAAAAGCACCAGGAGCGGGTATAAATTTTACGCTCTGCCGTTCACGGAATTGGAGAATTTCGACGAATATTTGCGTATCAAACACAAATGAATTGCGCTAATAAGCTAAGCATTGACAGCGTCATATAATTCGACATAAATAAAGCTGAAGAGTTTGTTTGTTTCAGCGCGCTAATCTCAAGAACTTCTGGTACGAACCGAAAAATTCTTTTTGAGTTGATTAGAGCATTTATTGAGGAAGGCTAAATTAAACATCAGGAACATCCGGCTGCGACAAATACGAGCAAAGAAACAATGGGAAATGTGGAAAAAACTAGGGAAATTATTTACCTTTGTGGATTTCCATTCCATAGCAAATTTTGTTGCCAAAAATAACTAATCTACGGGGACGTAGCTAACACAGCTAGTACTAATATATTTGAGCTTGTTGGTGTAGTGGTAGCAATATACAGCTAATAATCAACGTTGTGAGTTTGATCCCCACCGGGTCCAACATTATTCTAATTAATTCATAATTATTCTGAAATATGTTGGAGTTCGTCGGGAAATCTGTATATAGAAAAATTATTGCCATATGCATTCAATGCAGTTCTAACACGAGTAGAGAAGTGACGCTACTTCAATCCTATTGGAAAGAGCTTAAAGAACCTCATTAAACGAGCTTTGAAAAATAGGACAGGGAAAGTATACGAGCGTAAATAGGTAGGATTAATTGCTTTAAACGCCAATTAATTGACTTATCACACAAGTACGATAATGGTGCACTAGAGAGAAGGCGTATTACACACGAGTCCCTCATATATTTTCAATCAGTACTAAATTACAATGCTTTGGAATATATTAATATAATATAAGGAATTTGGAATATATTAATAAGACAGCAACGATGGATTCAGAGGGGGGTCATGGGGTTATGACACCTCCCTGAACTGGTTCAGGGCATAGGTGAACCACTAATAAAGAATAAATATTTAGGTAAAACACGTTAACGCTTTAAAACGCGATATATATTACTTGAACTTTTTTTAAAATTATTGTAACTACGGTCTCCTCGAGACACGGCTGCTGCAAAGCATCCAAAACATCAGGCCGTATTTTCAAATAAGTTTAACTAATATGCATATATCGCGTTTTAAACCGTTATGTCTTTAAATGTATAATATACACATTTTTCAATTTTATTAATGTATCGTACTGAGTACGAACATTAATACAATACTTGACTACGACTATGTGACCCCCTCCTGATGCCAAAGCTGGATGGATCCGCCCTTGTAAGACAGTGCCTGGTCAATTTCAGTATACTTTAATCAGAGCGTATTGGTGTTAGTCTTACATCTGTCTTGAATATTCAATTACTGTTCCAAATAGGATTGGAAAATGTTTTTTTTCCTACATTTTAGAATGTTTTCAATTGACCTTTATCCACTGTAAAACTAATGCTGTCAAAAAAATTAAGCTTAGCATTTTTAAAATAAAAAAAAATAAAGCCGAAAATTTAATGTGCTATTAATTTCCTCGTCTAAAGTGCAATTATTTTCCACTCTTTAGATTCAGTACGAGCGCTCATTATTCGTAACGGCATGACCCAGTCATGAATAACACGAAATTGTCAAAACAAACAGTGAAATGAGCTGGTACGATTGGTCCGCAATTAATTCGGTTGTCTTTATAAAGCCATAATTTCAATAGCGAATTTAAATGTTTGACAATATGGCGATTAATTAACAGCATTTTCAAAGTGTTAGGAAGTATTAAAAACTGAAATAGTTACTAGTTTTCGTTCGTTAGTCTAATTGGTAGCAATGTAATGCTAATAAAAAACGGGTTTCAACCCCACCGGATTCAACATGTTTATATTCAATTAATAATATTTCTGTAACATGTTGGACTTCGTCTAGAAAAATTTTACATATTTAATGGAAGGTAGGAATATCGAAATTCCATTCAGGGGACGAATCACCGTCCTCAGATAAAAAACTGTTTATCGCATTTCGGTTTCAATCTGTGGATTTCAATATTTTAAATTCAAAATAGACCAACAGCGCATGTCGGCTGGAGTACTTCACATTCGATCATGTGAATTCTCCGCGTGTACTCTTTTGTACATTAAAATAAAAAACGACTTTGAATGTTTGGTTTAGCTTATTTCCGCTGAAATGAAAATGTATATACGGAAAGCATCCATCTCATTAAGGGGAAGCTGGCGTGACTGTTAAGTCAGTATAGGAATAATTAATCTGTCGCGGACTAACAGTTCGTCGTCGCTCATTCCAGTTCTCGACATTTCCGTTCACAAAAGATCCAGATAAATAATAAATTTAAATTGTTTACTCTTGCTTTATTACTTCAATTAACATGTATACTAATGCTCAGAATTTTTAGCTCAAATTGCTTGTGTTATCGATGTATTAAGCGTACAAAAATATTCAATTGCCACACTTAACATTACATACACATTACACATACATAAACATAGATAGTAATAAGATTAATCTATTCTCTTCCCTGCATGTGGGTATACAAATACAAGACAAATCAAACCTCGCCGGTGGCCCGTCGTTCTATTAAGTTAATTTTAAAAGATAGACATAAAGTGTATTGAACACAGTGCAATGTTTTATAGCCTATAATCTTCCTCGATCAATGCTCTTACTAACACAAAGAGATTGTAACAGACATAGAAATGTGTCTACCCCATGCATACGGGGGGAAACGGGATTTTACACACAGGCCTGTAATAAACATATAAATTTAGACGCACTAGGAGCAATTATTATTACTGTGTACTATGTATACTTACAGTGACTAGTGATTCATATAAATGCATAATTGCGCGTCTTGCATTGGAATTCGATTTTGACCTAAATTTGCTGAATTCCCGAAAGTGCTTATCGCTAGATAGAATGAAAGTACACAAGAAACTTCGTGCTCCATTCAAAGGCGACGTTTGCAATTACTAAACTTTCAGAAAGACAAATATTTTAATTGTTACATTAAAATATAAGACTAGTTGTGAGGTTTTGTGTTTTATGTTTATTTAGATGAGACTTTTTCTAATTTATTAATTCTTTTACATAAATGTTGTTTCTCAATTTGTCTGTCTATCATTAACTATCAAAAACAAGGTTTAACCATAATAATATTTAAAAAAATTGTAAAGCTGTTACAACCCATTCATTTTCTTAATACGGTAAGTAATGGAAATAAAAATAAATAAATGAAAAAGATACTTTCCACCGTTTATTTCAAACATTATCGTTTTTTACCAGCGTAAAGTTTACCGGCGTTATAATAAAACACCGTTTAGTTATTGTTTATTATTTCTCGAAAGCAACCCATTTTAAACCTTGGTTATATACAAACGAAAATAAAAATGTCAACTGTGTACTTCATACAAAAATCTTCGAGAGCTTCTCAAGGCTTAACTGCGCCTGTTCGCTCTTGTTTTTAGATAATGTTTTATTCAAGAGATTATACTAGCCTTTCTGTTGCTTTTTAAATGGCAGCAAAATATTTTAGTCAGGCTAGAGAATGACTATTTAATCCACGATCACATGAAAAGTCATACAAGTATTATTATCATATGACATATTAATATTATTACACACGTATCTAAACGAAACAATGCGTAATTTTGTTTTTATATAGGTATAGTTGAAATAATTTAAAATTTATCTAAACTATAATAGGTAACGTAATTGAAATTAATAGTTACCCGTTTCTTGTTAAAAGTTGGGAACGACAGTTGAATCAAGTAGAGGCCGAGTAAAATGATTTCAGCTTTGAAACGTTTGAAATGAAAAACATTGCGAGGTAAACAGTAAAAACATTTTATATTATGATATAACTTTAGGGCTTCGTTAACTTTTTGATAATCTGTGGTCCGCAAAAATTAATTTAAACAATCGCTTGACTAGGCTTGACATTGAGCGGTGAAGTAATAACCATGCTTAGACACTTTTATTTCAAGTCCAAAACAAGTGCATAACCTCTTGAATTAATTTAGTAGATATTATTTTGCTTGTATTTAAACTGTTATCACCATGGTAGCCGTAAAACTCGTTAAAAAGAAGTCTATAAAAGAAACACCTAAAGGCAAAGTGATCAAATTGAAGAAATCCATTTTAAAAGAAGCAAAACCAGTAGATAACTTCATAGAAAGCGAAATATCAACTAAAAATGTCTCGATTAAGAAGGTTAAATACGTTTATCCCTCTAAAAACGTTAATGAAAACATTGTAGACTTAACCTTAGATGCTCTGAATAAGTTAACTGATAGTTATAATACAAAGAATATGATTTTTGGCGATGAAACTCCGATATTTGTGCAAATCACGAGCATTAAAATTCAAGACACCAAAGCAAACATTAAGTTGTAAGTACATTTTGGATATCCTAATCTAAACATATCATGCTAAAACTACACAATTCAAGAACAATATTAAGAGTGTTAGTCTCTAAAGAAATGCACAGAATACTTCTAATGTATATGTATATAATATACTTTGAGTTTAATGGGAAAAAGATTGGTGTCTTTTAATCCTGCGTCTTTCAGGGTTCTACCTCATAGTACATGTGCATCAACTGGCGAAATTTGTTTGATAACACCAGACATAAAGAAAGGTAAAAAACCTGATCACGAACCTACTATTGAGCGCTGGGAAGAACTTTTAAGTAAAGCTGGGGTTACTTCTGTAAGTTAATGACAAAAGATCCAGATAATAATTCAAAATTATATATTTGTTATGCATTTAAATGATTGATTTTTTTTAGGTGAAGACCATATTACCAATGAGACAATTGAGAGTAGAGTATGATCAGTATGAATTGAAAAGACGACTTATGACTCAGCATGATTTTATAATGGTAGATAAAAGAGTACTGACCCATGTCTCCACTTTATTGGGTACCAAGTTTTTCAAAAAGCATAATATGCTAGTCCCTGTTAAAATCAATGAGCAGAAGGATTTGAAAAAAGCCATTGATGTTGGTTTACGTTCCGTCATGTTGCGTTTGAGTGAAGGTGCAACATCAACAGTGGTCGTTGGACACACTGGAATGCCAAAGACTCATCTATCAGAAAACATACTTGCTCTCATTAAACAACTTGCACTTAAATATCCTGGTGGAGAATACAATATTAGATCACTTTCGATTAAATTGCCATTATCAATATCTCTACCTTTATACTTAACTCTAAGTAAGTGGTCTTTTAACATTTCTAAATATTTAATTTTCAACTTTAATTGCACAGGATATATCTCTTGTTGCTTGTAATTCTTACCTGTGTTGTGACACTGATACGTTTCAGCTTTCTAGAATACTACATTACTATATAAAATTTTCTGTTGATATGGATTGCCTATTAAGTTTTAGACAAAAAAATTTAACAATATTTAAGATACATGTCTGTTAATTCTTTATCATTCTTCTCATGTCTTCAGGATCATCAAATTTCATAGCTCAGCCTAAAATAAAGAAACCTGTACCTAAGGCATATACAGAATATGAAGATGAGCTCTCAACTATACCAGGAGCTATGGTTAAAGTAGCTCCAGATGGATCAGTTACTGTAACTAAAAAAGAAATGCAATCTGATGACGAGTATGTTCAGTATTAATTATTTTTATAGATTAAGGGACTGGTAATTTACATTTACCTTCAATCTATATTTATCTTTTTATAGGGATATGCAACAGTCTGATGAAGAAGACAGCAACAAGGACGAAGACATGGTGCAGTCAAGTGAAAATGAAGACGAATAAAACAGTTTATACATGAAATTGGATATTATTTAATAGTGATAAACTAAGAATTTAACAATTCTATTTAACTTTTTTATTATTATTATTTTCTCTCGGGGACACCTGTGGTAGGACGGGTGATCAGTCCACACTATCAGCTGACCATTTCACCCATTTCCCCATTTCCACCTTGTGGAGGTTAAACTTTTTACATAGTATATGTTATTTTTAAACTTTAAGTTACAGAATCTTAAAACCTTTGTATGAAGCTGCTCCTAAGATACAATAGAAACCTGCATTTTTACAGGCCAAACTTTCTTGAATCTCTTGAAATTTTTCATACCACTATTATTTGCTTTAATTTCCAAAGGTTCTCTTTTAATAACTAAGTCGTTTCTTATAACAATTGTAGTAGATCCAATATCAATATTATTAAACTTTTCATCCAAATCTGATATATCTTCCTTTTTAATTATTTTTGTATTGGTTATGTTGGAATTTTTCTCCATTAACTCTTGCAATTTAATTCCTCGCAGTGCTTCAACTTTGACGTCATCAACTTTTACAACAGACCTTTTATGTGGTACCTGAATATTTATATCATCACCTGAATCATTTTCTGTACAGGGTTTTTTACCTCCCACAAAATTAAACAATTCATCATCATCCTCATCAATAACTTTCCTCTTACATGCCTTAGATAAATTTAACTTTACATTAGAATTATCAGGTTCTATTTCTATACTGTCTGTAACAAAGTTAAACATGTCATCTTCATGCATTCCTATTGCATGTTTTTTAGAGTCATTGCTTAATTCCTCTTCGGCTTGTCTTTTATTACTATTGTTGGATATATGGATTTTCTTGTTCTGCCTGTTGCTGTCAGTATTATCACCACTTAGTTTTCTTTTTCCATTTGAGCTACCTGTTTCAAAATCAGATTCAATCTTGGACTGTAAACTCTCATTTATTATAATATTTTCTTTCTTTCCTAATATTTGTGTTGTTTCTTGTGACTCTGGAGCTAATATTTTGTTGCTTTTATGAGCATTGCTGGGTGCATGTTTAATAACTTCTGATGTGAGATTAAAATCAGGATTACAGTACTTAGACATTGAACAATATAAAACAGCCAAGCCAATTTCTGGGTCAGGTATTATTCTTTTTCCTTTACTCTTTAAATATGAAACAATATCATTGATCTGATCCTTTTGAGCTTGAGTTTCTTGGGATGTTGATGTTACATTATACTGGATTACAATAACGTTTTGGTTGCAAAGGCCTGCCTTCGTTATTTTACATTCACTTAACAAAAGAGGTATGGCAGAACTTTTTATAAGAACAATCTTATACATTTCTAACTGCCTCTTAGAGAAAAAAATGAATGTTTTTCCAGTAAATAACTCTTGTCTCTGTGAATTAGGATGAAATGACACTATTTCCTTATTGAGTGTTGTTTCTATAATTTGGGGTGTATAATCCTTTGGACTAGGTAAAGGTTCGTTATTTGAGATAGCGTCAAGGCATTTCTTCCAGTAGTCTGTTGAAACAATATGAGACCCTTGCACTAGAGCCAAAACAACTTTAATTGTCAGTGTAATTGCTGGCATTGTTAAATAATAACATGTATCATCCCATTCATTTTTCAAGATTCCTCCTAGTTTTCCTAGATTAATCTTTAACCTTTGAAGATTTTCTCCTTTTAATGTTGAAGTGCATGTTATAAAATCAATCTGTTTAACATTCCACTTACAGTTCATTTTGCCAAATCTAACTACATCTCCAGAGTGCAGTGTGTGGTCTACTTCACTCGCAACTTTTTCTATGTTATTGTTAATATATGTGCCATATTTTGACCCTAGGTCTCGTAAGAAGAGCTCATTATTTGTCACTGACAATGTTGCATGTTTCCTGCTAAGAGAAGGGTCATCCGGGACTGCAAAGTTGCTGTTCTGAGCATCGATACTTCTTCCAATTGTAACAATTTTATCTTGGTACACATATATTATCCTGTTGTCGTTATCAGATGTAAGATACCACATGTTTATGTAAACTTTATATGATTCTGATTAGGGATACTTGGAAGTTTTTAATATCCCACAACTTTATCGTAATCCTAAACTGGTGAACTTCCTCTAATGGTGTGCATTCTCTGATAAGAATAGAAATCGGAGACGTGTCTGCTTTGAAATTTAATAATTTTCAGTAATTACTAATTAAATACAGTAAGACGCCGAAAACACAAGTAAAGTAACATATTCAAATTAGTTAAAGATGACACTTAGCTGACGGCTGTCAATTGTAGAAAGCAATGCTTCCATATTTTAACTCATTTGTCCTATTGCCTGTGGTTCTAGGACATATTATTATATTCTTTAGCTGTTCCCATGGAAACGATCCAAATATTCGTAACAAACAATACAAACTTTCACAAAACCTTAGCAAGTAGTATTTATCTCAGGTTTTCAAATTTAAACAAAATCAAACTTTTTACAGACAAATCCCTTTAAGATTGTAATAAGTTTTTCAAATAAAACACATTTTAATATTTTAAAGATGACTTTGTATATAGATACAAAACTATCATTTGTGGAAACAAATATAATTTCTACTATTGGTTCTTGGCATCCCTGTTTACCACTTTTAGCTGTTGGTTCATATAATCAGGAAAAGGGTGGTTCAGTATCAATTTTCCAGGAAAATGTAAGCCTTAATATAGTAAAAGCCTGCTCAGATAATGTTATTGTAATTGTATCACAAATTCATTTAAATTATAAACTTTGTTTCCCTTTAAGGGTCAACTCCTGGAAGGATGTGACTGGCCTATTCTACTATCAAATCAAGTAACTGCTTTGGCTTGGCATCCAGTAAGACGATTACTTGTTGTGGGATGGGATGGAGGTGAACTTTATATTTGGTTAGAATATGCGTGGGCTCGTTTAGAAGCTCCCCATAATGCAGCCCTTACCACGGTAACTTTTAGCCCTGGAGGAGGAAGACTCATAGCATCGGATGCTACAGGTTCTGTATCAGGCTGGCAATCTAGTTCAGGTGCACCATTAACAGCTTTTCATCATCAACTTAGTGATGTCATTACACATGTGACCTTTTGTGCTCCTATTCCAACTTCTGAAACATCAATTAGAGGACTCGCCCGCGCTGCCGTTGCTGGTGACGAAAATGCGTTAGATGTGTTAGCTGCTTGGAGACCTCGTACCACAGCAAAAATGAGAGAGGGCTACCAACCTGACAATCATGCTTGTTATGCTGCTCAGGATAATGGTGTGGTCTTATATATTGATCATTCTGGGTCATGTTCTGAAGTTCTAAATGCGTCTGGAGTTATTGTCTTTCTGGGTATAATTAGTAATATGTATCTCCTTGTGGCATGTGAGACATCTGGAGCAATAAGTTTATCTAGATTCATAATGTCTGATGATGGCTCTCTAACCACAGACAGTCATGTGAAGATGTCATCAAAGAATGGCCAGAGCATAGCACTGGTTGCAAACTTTTCAGTAGCAGTTATCACTGGTGATAAAGTTATTAGAATATGGGACAGTGAGACTGGTGACAATGATGTTTTACCTAATGAAGAAGAAGATACAGCGGCTGGCGAAACTTTTACCAGTATAAGCTTCTGCAACTTAAGTGATACGCTTTGTTGTGGCACATCTCAAGGAAATTTATATCTGTGGAGACATGATCATAAAAATAAATGGAAGTTACTTAGTTCTACTTCGGTAAAAGGAACAGTAAAAGAAATTTCTTGGGGATCTGAAGGCCTAATGAATCCACTTCTGCACGTTAATTGCATAACAAGTGCTTTTGTTTTAACAGAACAACATGTATGTTGGGGGTATTCACAAAGGATATGTATGGTACAAAAGTCGGCTAACGAAATTAGTGTATCAGCACAGAACAATGTCTCAAGCATAATGACTTCTATAACGATTAAAACATTTGCATTTAAAGAAAATTACATAGCATTAGGTGATGGAAACGATGTACAGGTAATTTTTCACTTGACACTCGCCTTTAAAGCTTATGTTCTTAGGTACCTAACTATGCGTAGTATATGTCCTGCTTTGGTCAAATGAATGAAGTCAAAAATCCCTCTTTAAATGACGTGTTTATCTCACAAATATTTATATATCTTTTCAGATTTGGATGTGTTCAAAAGATGATGAACTCAAATTTTCACACATTCGAACCTTCTCATGGAAGACTAGTGCACTTTTTATGTACAATGATATTTTGGTTGGAATTGCCAATCCTCACATAGAATGCTATTCTATTATCGGCACTAAACTAGGAATCCTACCGAGCATCGAAGGAGAGGGTGAACCCATTGCCGTGACTAATACGAACAAGTTTATAGTTGTCGCTACTATAGACGGAGCTTTAAAATTGGCTGAAATCACGAAAAAGGGTTTAAGAATGCCTTTTCCGCCGAAAAATTGTTTTCAAGCTTTCGAAGATTTTGGCGAAGTAATGAGAGCCTCGGTGAATGCGAGCGGTAGTTATATCTGTTTGAGTATAGCTAACTCCGGATTAGCACCGGATCCTAACATTTATTTGTGGGACATAGCAAATGATAAAATATCCTTCACCTCCATTACGGACTATCACACCGCACCATATCAAAGCGTGCCTATTTCCATTCTGTGGGATGTTTTCGATTCTAGACTTGTTGCAGTTCACATGCGCTCAGTTGACTTTGATCGAATTCACTTATTTTTTTGTCACGAAGGAGTTCTTTACGAGTATAAAAATTGGTGCCCGACGTTAGAAAGTTATTTTCAAAATGATTTTATATTATGTTCCCTTAGCTCACCGCACGTCGTAATACTCACTCACCAAAACATGAAGAAAATCTTATTCAATGAATTCGAAGACGGCAATGAACACGACAGCCATAAAGTAAAAGAAACCTTGAATTTTCTATTTTTCATGAGCACTGGGCTTTTGGAAAAGGCTGTAATTATAGGGACCAGTATATCAGGGTTAAAAAGCTCTGTAATATGGGACAGTTTAGCTAAAGAATGTGTGCTTCGAAAACGAGCAGATGTAGGTGCAGTATGTCTTAGCAAAATGGGTAATATTAAGGGTGCTTTGATGATGCGAAAAGTAATGACCGACGATAGCTTAGAGGACACTTGTAAGGTTGGTGTGCTCGCTATCAATCTTGGTATGATAGATGAAGCGCAGAATTTGTTTCGTAAAAGTCAACGACTGGATCTTATTACGCGCCTAGTATCTTCAAAAGAAGGGGGATTAAACGAAATTATAAATGAAGACAGCGAAGGTGAAAATATTCTACTTATAAAAAGTGCTCAGCATAAATTAGCGAAAATAATGTGGATGAATGGAGATACTAGTGCATCACTGAAACTATTCGAAAAAGCGGGTACGCTAGTTCCGCATGTGCCTAGAATGCTTATTGCTCAAGGACAGGCGACGATGCTCGCTCAATATGTCTCTACGTCAAATGATACTAGCCTGATCACGTGGTGGGGACACTATCTTGAAAGTATCGGAGATTTGGACGGTGCCTTGGAAGCATATTCCCGTGCCAACGATTTTGGAGAGCAAACGAGACTTTTGTGTCACATGGAGAGATTAGATGAAGCTGATAAACTTTGTCGTAAGAATTCTTCATCGCTTTATCAAATGGCGCGTTATCTGGAAGTTAATACGAATGAAACTGAAAATGTCGTTAAGGTATCTATACTATCGCATTAAAAAATATATTTCTTAAAAAATAAACCTAACATGCGTCGTCCTTTTCAGATGTATATAAAATGTGGCGCTATTGCTGCAGCTATTCGAGTTGCAGCCGAAGCTAGTGCATGGCACTTGGTGTGGAGGGCTGGCTCGTCATCCACAAAACATGCACTTTATGCTGCTTCAATTCTGGAAAATGCGAGTCAAAACGAGCAAGCTATTGCACTATATCAAAAAGCTGGTTAAATCAAATCCTTATCAAAGTTTAAAATGTTTTCGTATGAATAATTCAGTAATTTAAATATTATATCTAACTGCTTAGGAAAACCTCATATGGCACTTAAGCTTGCGATGAGTTGTGGAGACACAAACGCAATAGTGGCCGCTGTTGAGTCTTTGGGTGACCGTGTGGAACCGGCCTTAGCAGACACCCTGGCGAAACATTTGAGACACGCTGAACATCATTCGCAAGCTGCGGCCTTGCTAGCAACTGCTGGAAAAGTACATATATATAGTTAGAATAACATAATTAACCTTAATCATCTTGTACTCATCGCTTTCGCGAGTAGCACTCAGTATTTAAAGCATTTTAATCGGATTCAAACGCGATTGAATGCATCAACGATCGGACAAAAAATGATTGTGAACACAGGCTGAGAAAATAGATCTTAATTGAGTTAAACTCGTTCAAGTCCTTTTATTTCATCAGTCTTATTTTTTACTTATATCATTTTTTTTTTACAGTACGAAGAAGCTTTAGATATAGTGGAGGAGTCGACTGCACCAATTACTGAAGAGCTAAGTGAGCGTTTAGCAGCTCCAGCGGGTACGAGTGGGCGTGAGGTGCTGTTGCGAAGATTAGCAGATATGTTGGGTGCGAGAGGTCTTTACCACCAAGCAGCCAAAAGACTGGCCAATGTTGGTGATAAGGTCTGTAAAATATGGTTCTTTATCTATAGTAAAATCCCAAGATACTACTTATAATATTATTTTTTATTATTAAAAATTGCTATTCTATATTATTAAAAAAAAATCCAAGGCTGTGTTAATGAGTAATGCTCTTTAGGAATATTCCGTGAAGTACAAATTAAAAATTCAGCGAAAGAATCATCTAAAAACATCACTTTTTAACTCAGATTGCCGATAAACGATTCATACCTACTATTTAAAAGTTAATTTGATACATTACATTAAATTCAAGTGTTACAAAAGTTTCCTGGAGGGCAAAATCGTATATTCTTCGCATCTAAAAACAAGAAATATATATCATGTGAAGTTGTACCTAATGTCTATTTACAAAAAATAAACAAATCTAGAATATTAAATAAATCGTCTGTTAAGCGGTACGGAGGTTGCCGCCGTAGTAGAAAACTCATAAAAATAATACTAGTTAAGTACATATATCGAATAGTTCGTTCGAATTCTATATAGTGATCGTTAAAATGAGTGAAAGGATTTAATAACATTTGAGGTAACAACGAAAATCTCAACTTCTTCGTCAATGAGTACTCGTATAGATATTTTGAGAATAGCCACTGCTATTCTCAAAATGTTATTCATCGTGCACCTATAATTTTTTTATTTACTTTTGCTTGTCTTTTAAATCAGGCAGGTGCAATGCGTTGGCTAATTCGTTCTGGTGATGCGGATCGTATAGCGACTTTTGCTGCTGCGAGTCGGGATCGAACCGCACAGTTGATGGCCGCAGACTACTTGCGCAGAAGAGCGCCCTGGAGGTCCAGGCCAGACCTCACGAGACACATTTTACACTTCTACACGAGGGCTAAGGCCTATGGAAAACTTGCATCCTTCTATGCGGAATGTGCTAAACTGGAAATTGATGAATATGAGGTTTGTAAACACTACCAACTCAATTACGTAAAAAAAGGTTTAAGAAATTCTTGAGTACAATTTTTTTTAATTAGTAATCAACAACGGTTCTTGTGCTTTCAGAATTACGAAAAGGGATTGGAAGCACTGAAAGAAGCATCAAGGTGTATAGCTAAATCTTCAGATCCCGAAATGAGTTGGTTTAAGAATGTACCCGATTGATTTCGTTTTGCATACGTTGTCGTGCTAGATTGATGTTGCTTCTCTTTTCAGGTTCCCAGTCTTTAGCTCTTCAAGAGCAAAGTTCGTTGGTGAAGCGATACATCGATATTAAGAAAACACTTGTAGGCGGGGATATAAATGCAGGTGTGTTATTATCCTCTTCAAAAATTAAAATGATAAAAGATATAGGTATAGTAAAGTCTGATTTTATTGTTTTGTTTATGACAACAAACAATATATTCGTTTGCAGGTGTCAGCAGTGGCCAACAACTTATACGCAGCGTGAGTGGAAGACCAGGCCTTGTCACTCAAGAGAATGTCCTAAAAATGCTGTTATTATTTGCACCAACTCATCCAGATCTTGAACGTAAGATATACGACTACTTTATATTATAACGTTAAAATATTAAATTAGCCTTGATTAATAAAAATGCTTTTTGGATTCTTATGTATCAATCAGCAATAAAGTGAAATTAAACGTTAATATAAACTATTATTTTAAACAAAAAATATATAAAGGAACTTTATCTTGCAGGATTGGAACAACAGTTGAAATCACTTCAAATACAACCACAAGACGAAAATTCAACATCAGAATCTCCAGAACAAAGCATTGAAGAAGTCATGTAGATAATATATTACATGTATTATATAAGTCTTTTAAATAGTAAATACAATAAGAATCATAAGAAATATATATTATATAAAAAAACAATAGCTTGATGTTATTATTAATGTATTTTCCATAAATGTTTCACATTCACAATATTTACATTATCTACATCATTTTCTTTTGTTTAATCAAATAATTTCTGAATGCTATTTGTTTGTCTTTGAAAGACCTTTTTATTTTACCTCTGGCTTTATGTTTGACCATCTGATATGATTTAGTTTTACGCTTTTCTCTATTTGTTTTAGAGCAATTTGCATTCTTCCTTCTATCTTTATAACCATATTTATCTCTCTCTTCTCGCCCCTTTAATACCGTTTCGAGTCTAGCATTCTTATCATGTTTCCTCTTTTTGTAGATATTTTCTATGTCAGCAAGTTTAACCAATTCTGAAGATTCTTCTTCCTCCTCAGTAACAACTGATTTACGTTTTACTCCTGAAATATGCTTCCTAACCTGGGCTGCTTCTATTCTCTTAAAATCTTCATCAGTAAATATTTTGTCCATAGCGATTTCACGGGCTGTTTCAATTTTCTCTTTTATTTCCTCTGGTGTTAACTTTCTTCTGGCTTTAAGTATTTTTCTAGTGTTTACACTTTTATCTGGAGTTTCAACAGTTGCTTCATCATTTGGTGCCTCTTTTTCTTCAGTATTATCCTCTTCATCATCACTAGCTTCACTTTCATCACTGTCTGAGATATTTATCTCTGAATCTGATGATGCAACATCTACCCACTCATCATCTGACTCATCATTTTTCTTTTTCTTATCCTTCTTTTTGTCTTTTTCTGTTATTTCTTCTTTTTCTAACAGAACTTCTGATCCAGGTACATACTCTTTTATATCCATTTCACCATATTGTTTTGTCTTTAACTCTATAGATGCTTCTGAAGGTCGACCCCTGTCTTTCTTATGAAGCATCTTAGGCATAGATTGCCTGTAAAGTTGTATAAGAGATCGAGCTGCCATCATGACTGATTTCTCTTTATAGGTTTTATATTGTACTAAATCTTGAAGAAGATCTTCTGTAATAGCAAGAGGGCAGCGAGCACATATCTCACGTACAGAATTTAATCCAACAGCCATGACATCTGTAGAATTTCTTTCGGTAATAAAATTGTTTGCTATAGCTTTCATAATAGGTTCAATAACCTCAGGTGGTACTAGCTCATGTGCTGATTGAGCAGCAAACTGTAATAATCTTGTGACTTCTCTCTGATGTGGCATTAATAACCTTGCAAGAAATGGATAATAATTAAATAGAAAGAGATTGTGTAACCCAATAAGTCTTGATATTACATCTAAAGTCATCAATTTCACTTCAAAACGTTCATTAGATGATTCTACTTGTTTAAATAACTTTTCAGCAAACCCCTGAGGGTTGTTAATAAGATGTAGTGCAGAGAAATTAAAACTGGGTGCTTTTTCCTTACGCTTTTTTATTTTCTTTGCAATCTTCTTTACTTTGTCTACCATCTTTTCTCGTTTCCTTGTTTTTTTATTAAATTTATTAGATATCATTGTATCTCTGGGATCAACCTCTTCATCACTGTCCGTCTCTGGCTTCTCTTCCTCATCCCTACTTAAGAAGAATTTCAAAGAGGCTACCATTACTTTGGTTACTTTGGTGAAACAGCCAACATCAGCTATAATATTAACAGTTTTATTGTCATTCCAAATATTTTTATGATACAATTCAATTAAAATATCTACAGCAAGTTTAGATGTTTTCACACTTGTATCCCGCAACATAGTAAAAATAAAGTTCTGTAGTGTAGAATTTAATTTCATATCCTTGTGTTTCATATTCATGTTTTTGATATCAGTAATTATGTGTGTCTTCAAATACTCTCGAAGGTTTTTGTCTTGACACTTGATAAGAAAGAAAAATAATTCCAAGAGATCAAATGCGCTGACGAAGTTCTTGTTCCGTAAAAGAATAAGACATTTACATAGAGCCATTCTCATATCGTTCTGGAGAATGGTGTTGTGTGTTTTCAGTATGTCAACGATTTGTTGTGGGAAATTCTTCATTTCACTTTGATAACATTGTGTTACCTGCGCTAAGAACATTGCTTGTTCATCCAATTTCTTGTTGTATTGTGTCGGATTTAAGTTAAATATTTCCAAGGTGGTTTCAAAATGAGCAAGTTGCTGCCTAAATTCATCTTTGTAGGAATCTGGGTCTCTTTTAACCAGATTTTGCAACTGAGTTAAGTTATTTGGCAATTGGTTATTGTGTCTAACCATTTTATTTTTAGTTTACGTTTAATTGTTAATAAATAATTCACATCACCAACAACACGTGAAACTTAAACATAACCATCAAATCACCATTTAGTATTTATCGTGACAACCTTTAAACGTCATTATAAACTGTCAAAAACAATCCTTGACTGTCAAAGACTGACATTAAGGCATTCATTGGTAAAGTGTTAATATTACATTGACATTGGCAGATTAGTCGCAATGTTGCGATAACGAGCGCCAGAAAAAAAAGTGTTAATATATCTGATATTAAAAATCGTGTAGTAATACAAACATATTACTTTGTTATTGGAATTCAATAAGATTTGTATTATTTTATGGTTACTAGTTTGATTGATTGACACACAATTCTTTCTTGCTACATCTGTAAAGAGACTTAAATTCTTTAAATCCTTTAACAAACCATTGTACAAGATCGACTTCATTAACTGTTTTGAGGATTAAAACTTCTTTGCCTGTATACAGTTTCAAAGATAAGGAAACTACTAATTAATTAAAAATAATGTTAAAACCAAAAGCTTTGACTCAAGTACTAAGTCAGGCGAATACTGGAGGAGTGGAAAACACATTGTAATTTTTGGTGATTTACTATTTAATTTATATATTCACTTTAAGAGCAGTACCTATTCCTTTGTATATATTGTTACAGATTGTTAACTCATCAGGGTGCCCTCTTAGCATATTCAGGTTACAATGATAAAGATGCCAGAGTAACAGCTGCAATTGCCAGCAATGTCTGGTCAGCTTATGAGAAGCAAGGCAAAAATGTTTTCAAAGAAGATAAGCTAGATTTGATATTAGTAGATTGCCAGAATGGCAAGATTGCTGTAACACAAGTTGCAAATTTATTATTATGCCTATATGCGAAGGAGACTGTTGGATTTGGAATCCTTAAAGAAAAAATTAATGCAATTGCACAATATTTAGAAGGGCCCTTAAAACAAGTTGCTAGTTCTTAGTTAAGATGTAATATTCCATTTGTTTTGTTTTGTCTAAATCCCTATATAAACAATTACTATATTTATAATTACGAACCCTATAACTATCAATATTTTACTAAGTAGTGTGTATATAAAATTATATTTCAATAATTGCTAATCATTTTATTTGTATTTCAATTCCATTTATTCCAAATTTGTAATGTGTAGGTATCAATCTTCTATACAAGCTCATAGAATGGGGATTGTGGAATTGGATAATGTATATAGGTATGTAAGATTTATTTTAGGTTGACTTCTGAAATCTTTTTAGTACAAATCAGTTGTTTATTTTTCAGTACTAACTGCAATTAAATGCAGTAATTATTAAATGAATTGATGGGTGTCTATTTATTTATTAGATGAGCATAAAATATTAATATGCATTGCGCTCAGATTTTTTTAAACAAAACGTGGCATGTTAAAATATTAAGAATAGAAACAAAGATTAATTAAACGGAAAATCTGTTCAATTAATTTACGTTCTCGTTATAAAGTATTCATTGGTATTTATTACTTTACCTTTGCTTCAATGTAGACTATAATTTTTAATATATTCTATAAAATATGTAGTTGACATTAAAATGTCAATGTCACATTACAGCAATCAGTTGTCTAATAAATAAAACATAATAAAGTCCAAGATAAAATTGTTTTGAGTTTTGACTTTATTTTTATTGTTTATGTATATTTTATACAGTGTACCGTAAAAATATCTTATGTGTTAATCTATTTTATGTAGTAATAATGAATCTATCCCAGGAGAATAGTTTTTCGAACGGTTTATTATACGTTGGGTTTAATCAAGACCAAGGTAATCTATGTTCAACAATATTATCGTTATTGTTGTGTAGGTATCGAAGGAGTTTTTGTATATGTTAACTGTTTCGATGAAATTGTTTAAGGTTGCTTTGCCTGCGGAACAGAGAATGGCTTCAGAGTTTTTAATAGTGACCCACTTAAGGAGAAAGAAAGACAGAATTTCGCAGAAGGTGGTCTTTCATATGTGGAAATGCTATTTAGATGCAACTACATGGCATTAGTTGGAGGAGGAAATACTCCTGTGTATCCTCCTAACAGAGTTATAATATGGGATGACCTCAAAAAGGATTCAGCTATAGCATTAGACTTCAATAGTCCAGTAAAAGCTGTAAAGTTACGGCGAGATCGAATCGTTGTAGTATTAGGTAATTATTTCACAAACTTAATACATAATTGTTACTTAAATAAGATTTTACATTAATTTTGACTATTGTTACAGAAAATCTAATAAAAGTGTATACATTTACTGCTCAACCACAATTATTACATGTATTTGAGACATGTCAAAATTTAAGAGGCCTTTGTGTTGTTTGTCCTAATAGCAATAATGCTTTACTAGCCTATCCTAGTCGGAAAACTGGACATGTCCAGGTTTGTTAAACATGTAACATTTTCCTTAATCTTAAGTCAATAACTCTAATTAGCCTGTTAAATAAGTAAGTAAAAAGACTTAGAGTGTGGGACAAGAATCTTTGTGAGATTTGTTATACATATATTATTTTTACAGTTGGTAGAGTTAAGTAGTCATGCTGGCACAAGTACTGCACCAGAAGGTCACTTAATTGCAGCGCATGAAGCACCACTTAGCTGCCTAGCACTCAATGTTGGGGGCACCCGGCTGGCAACTGCTTCATCCAAAGGAACCCTTATCAGAGTTTTTGATACAAATACTGGACAAAAGTTAGCTGAGTTGCGTAGAGGTGCTAATCAGGTATGACAACAAATAAACTTCTTAGAGCATAGTCTCAATTATAAGAATGTTGATGGATTTAAACTGTATTTATAACAGAGATTATGTAAATTTACTTGTAGGCACTGATTGTATTAGCTACCATTCAACTATGATAATCTCTTAAAGTATGGTAATCTTATTATAGCATTGATTGGCAATGAAATGTAAGAATTATATTTGATTAATGGTCATATATAACACATACAATTTATTTTTTATAAACTCACATTATTTCTTTGAGATTTTATAATAAAAGAAAAAAAACATATCAAAAGTATGAATTTCATTGCTTGTGAGCTTATTTTTAAGATAAACTTAGAAATTACCAGATATATACACAATACATCCATATAATGTTACATAAATTGCAAGTTGTATAAAGCTTGTTTGTAATCCCTTAATGATTATATTTTTCTTTTTAGGCGACTATATATTGCATTAATTTCAACCACACCAGCACAAATTTATGTGTGGCATCAGATCACGGCACTGTACATGTATTCAGCCTAGATGAAGAAAAACTCAATAAGCAGTCCAATTTAGCTTCTGTATACCTACTCCCAAAATATTTTTCTAGTAATTGGAGTTTCTGTAAGTTCACAATACCAAATGGGCCGCCGTGTATCTGTGCTTTTGGAGTAGATAAATGCTCCATAATCGGTAAGTGTAATATAATAATAGTTTTTAGAAACTAACTGATTTATAGGGTTTAATGTGTAAAAAAGGAGAAGCCGAACATTCAGCCTATTTTATAAGTGTGGGCTCAATATATTATAAGTTATATTTACGCCTAAATTAATTTTCGACCAATAAAGTGATTAAAATAGTAGCTCACATATTTCTGTACTTACCTTTTTGCAGTAATTTGTGCAGATGGATCTTATTACAAGTATAAGTTCAATGAAAAAGGAGAATGTACAAGAGATGTATATGCACAATTTCTTGAAACATCTGAAGATAGATAAACTATGACCCGATAAGCTGTCAATGGAACCATGTACAACTTGAAATTAATTGTCTTACATACTAATTTCTACTTTATTGAGAGCCCTAATCGGAGAAAACTATTAGAATAAACTTACGACTATGATAAAGTAAAATTAGAGAGACTGCTAAATTACCATTATTATTGTTACCTTTACTCAATCACTATTTAAGATGCTTGACATTTCTGCACTTAGCACAAGATAGATTTCACATAGAACAATAGATCTCTTAGATTATTGTCTATCATTTATAATAATAATTGCGAAATCACAGAAAAGGCTTAAGAAAGGTGTCGGGATTTCTATTATGTATGATGTAAAATGAACTCAAGGCCAAAGCGGTGTGTAGTAGAAGATTGAATAACTTAAATATTTGAATGAGACTGAATTATCAGCAAATAACATTATTTAAAACAGTCATGTGATATTATTAATTTTTGCTATTTGATCATTGCAAACGAGGTAAGATGATAGTATTGTTTTAAGACCTGATTCCGCAAGCTTTACTTTTATTAGCTTGTAGAAAGGATATGTTGCAGGAATTAGAAGGTAATTAAAAAAATATTTGTATATCTATAATATTGTTATAATGGATGAAATGGAAGAATTTATTCATATTGATGAAATATCAAATTCATATTCAATGTCAGTGAAACTGAATTGTATAGAAAATGTAGAATTAAATTTAATGAATTGATTACTATCTCACAAGCAACATGAAATTAATTGTATTAGATGAAATTAGAGTTGCATACTTTAGGCCAATAAATAAGTGAAACGAATAAGACGCACTTTTGGTCATGTATGTACCCATTAAAGCAATTTGTTTTATAATCAATATTTTACAGTTTAGATACCATTTGATTCAGAAATATCTCCAATCTTGAAAACTTTGTCTACTTTTATAGATAGCATAATGCATCATTTTACATGCTATGAATGTTCCTTACACTTTCTGATTTACCATGTCTGTCTATTGATTTATTATTGTTGTTTCTTGTCTTGAGTCTCAAAAAGAATTATTAGGAAATATCATTATATGAAATTATACGTGTTTATTCTAAGTGGTTATGAAATACATATTTTATTTTATTTCCTCTGTGCTTATTCATGCAGTTATTGTAATCACCAATTTTTAATAAATTGACAAAGAAATTATTATTTTTTATTTATATCCTCATTGCAACATAACTTCATCACAATTGCTTATAGTCATGATGAATGATCGCATATTATGGAACGAAAAAAAAAAATTATATGCTCATATAAACTCAAAATCGAGTTAAACAGAACCTATAAGAGATGGTAGTTATATCTTGAAATAAAAAAGGTCTAAAGAACTTTTACTGAAATTAAAACTACCTCTTTAGAACATCTATGAAAGTATTTCTAGGTATTTTTATATTGGCAACACTTCTCATCTTTTTCTTTCCGTCTGCTTGTTGTTTCAATAATTTTTTTCTCCGTGTCACGTCACCACCGTACTGAAAATTAGATAAATAGCTTTAAAAAATAATATTTAGTTGAAGTTGAGTGAATTGAGATATTGATGTAACGTACCAGCTTTGCTGTGACATCTTTCCTGTACGCTTTCAGAGTTTCTCTAGCGAAAACTTTCCCTCCAACTACAGCTTGAATTGCCACCTGAAAGTAACAATTTATTTTTGAGCCTTTGTTGTCTCTGGTTGTTGGCAGTCGCTTCTTCGCTTCAGCCGTTTCGGTCCACAGCTGGACATAGCACCCCCCCCCCCAAAAAAAAAATTGGAGCGTTGTCTATTATTATATAAATACAACTATTTAATACTTTTACTATGATTACTTGCATCAACAAATTTCATGGAGCATTCATTCCTTTTATTTTTATATGAAATTTTAATCAAACTTCAATACCTTCAACCTGACTAAGAAAATGTAATTATCAAATGTATTGAATAATAGTTTTGTGAAGGTCTAGTCATATAACTAGCATTTACCTGCACCATCTGTCGTGGAATCATCTCCTTGAGCCGAGCGGTAAGTTTTCGTGCGTTGTACTCCAGACGACTGGTGTGAACTATGGACGTCAACTCATCCACTAACACACCGTTAAGCAAAATATCCATCTGCAAATGTTATTTTATCACTTAAGATTATTAGAATTACATTGCAACCAAGTTGGAGTAACCATTGTATATTATTGTAAAAGGTTTCAATCTGAATGATGAGGAAACTCTATTTCATTTAATGATCGTTAAAAATGTTGCTTGTAAAAAAAAACCTTCTAATTACTAAAATAACTAAACAAATATAGAAATGTGACTGTTCTAAGTTAAATAAAGGCGAATCGAAAAATTTACGATTTTAATTTAATACTAAAAAATGGTCACGGGGATTCCTCGTGCCGTAATGGGGAGACCAGTCTGCTGACAGTAATTTGTATTAGTTAGTACGCGTACAGACAGCATTTAATGCTAAAAATGTATTGTTTTAAATTAATTTTTTGATAAGCGGGAAAAATATAATCTGTTATGAATTAAATCTTAACTCTGACCTACCCGGACCAATGGACTAGCATGGAAACCATAATCCTGGTAGTCGAAACTGGCGAACCCCGATGTGATACTTTTGAGGGTGTCGTGGAAGTCCATGACCACTTCTGAGAGGGGCAGAATGTATTGGAGCATTGTCATTTGTTCGTCTACTGCGCTAGAGGGTAGGGGTGAACCGCGCCGGTCTATGCACAACGTGTTTACTGCTCCAAGGTACTCCACTGGAGTAATTATTGTACCTGTGAAAATATATATATGTCCATGGAAAGTTTGTATATAAATAAAAAAATAAATAACATTGAAAAAAATCGATGACATCGGCGGGACTCGAACCATCGATACGTGCTACTGCTCTAACTGTAATTAGAGTCGCACGGATAGCTGTGGATGCCGTTTATCCAGCCAGTAGAATCGAAATCTATTTTCTTCATTCTTGTTTAAAATTATAATGCTAAGATGTGTTATAACGTGGTCAAAATATATTTTTTATTTGTAGTACATTTTTTAATTTGAAATCCGATAAAACTCTAAATTAAACAAAAAAAAATTAATTAAACATAATATTCGAATCAAAACAAACCAACTGATAACATTTCGTTGAAAAGGCTAATCTAATTCTGGTGTAAACAAATGATGATGTGTTTCCATACCTATTACAAACGGCTCGTAATACTCTACGATGTTATTTACGTCGGGCAACTGCAGTGGGTTCGTAACAATCACTTCGTCAGTTTTATAGTGCTTGATAACTTTGGCGCCTTTTATTCTAAAAAATAAATTTAGAAATCTTCAATACAGTATTTTAGAAGAGTCAAAGTCAGAAATCATCTGTCCACGTAGGTAACTAGGTACCACTTATGAACGGCACATCAGTAAAAACTAAAGACTCTAAATTTACATTTACTACCAGTTCTCAAATCAAGGATGTGGAACGAATGAGAACTGGCAAGAAAGGAGACAAAAATTAAATAAAATAAAATTATTACTCTATACAATACATTAATTTAATACTACAGCACCTATTAAAGTTTGATTGTATATTTAAATCAGGTAAAAAGTAACTCACGAACTAAACTTAAACAGACTTTTTTTTAAGTATTAAGAAGAATGCACATACTTCACTTTATATGGAACCGATGGAGCAGTTAGTATGGCCTCTGCTTTGTACTCTTGCAACAATCTCTGTGTGAAAACATCCAGATGTAAAAGTCCAAGGAAACCAACGCGCCAACCTTGTCCCAGTGCTGGGCTAAAAAAGTTTTATCAAATCATATTAAACCTCGTTGTTATTTTCGTTAAACTATATACATATGAGACCGCTAGAGGCATAGTAGCGTAACTGGAATTTTTATGATCATTTATTTATATTTTCATAGTCTTAAAATGTACACAACAAGAAGAACACAGTAATCGAAAGCTGTTCACATAATTCTTACACGAATAATAGTACAAATAAATTTTCGCTTAAGTTAATTGTTATTTTTCTCCTTATTAAAAATCATGTTTTTTTTTATTGGACTACTCTCCCTCTAACAGCCTCATATATAAGTTCATGTAAAGAAGAACATTATTTTAATCATTTACTTGATATTCAACATAAGGAATTTAAGATGAGAAGATAGGCGGAACCTGAACTTCCAGACGTCGTGTAATAAATTATTTTGGTCTTTAACTTAGTACATTGAGGACATGTGAATTTAAATTACATATTTTTATAACTTACCTAGAATCTACGCTGACACTGACTGCAGAATCATTCAATGCTAGTTTCTTGATAGAATCACTGAGTTGAGTATGCTGTGACTGATCTGCTGGGAAAATACCAGCATACACCATATGCCTAACAGCTGGCACAGATGCAGTGTCTTTACAGTTAGTTGCTTCAGGTGATAGAAGTGAGTCTCCTACACTACCACCACCTTTTGGACCTAGTCCTATAAATTAAAGAATGTTAAAATATTAAGTAAATAAACAATACATTAAAATTTTCATGTGCTTCAAAATTAAGTATATAGTACAATAAAGTAATATTGTACCATACCATTTGCATATTTATTTCAAATAAAGCTTTCAAAGATATTGCAAAGATATTGTAACATAAGTTAAATCAATACTATGCGGTTACCCACATAGTATTGTTTGTTGTGTAACCATGAACATCAATCCAATCTTGATGACAGTCCAATAGACTCTGTTATTGGAACAGAGGAATAAGCCAACTAGACACTACTTTAGCTCTCATGAAAGTTTATATGAGTTTCTCTTTGCCATCACAAGTACAGGTCTACATAATATACACATATATATAATAATAATAATAAAACACATTATTGCACAAACAAATAAAATACAGATATACTAAAACTAAAATAATTATTTACATATTTATATATATATATATATAGCTGACCGTTATTTTAGGGCTAGGGTTGTGTATAATTTTAATGCCACAAAAAAAATTAAGGGTGAACAACCCTTATCACTTTGGGGGATGTAAAATAGATGTTGTCCTATTCTCAGACCTACTGAAAACACATATGAAATTTGGTGAAAATCGGTAAAGCCGTTTCGGAGGAGTATGGTAACTAACACTGTGACAGGAAAATTTTATATATTAGATATATATAGCATACTACAATAACTTACCTACCATGACTACTTGCCCTGCCACAGCCTCTGTAATGTTCTCTTCATTTGGCCTCAACAAAGCTAAAAATTTAACTGTATGCTGTTTCATGTCTGATTTCCACTTGACTGGCTGACCTAATTTCAATGTGCCAGAGTGAATATAAGCCAGACACAAAACACCTCTGTATTTATCGTGCCATGTGTCTATAATGTGAGCTCGAAAATAGTCATTTGATTGGATATTTGGAGGTGGTATTCTGGTTATAATTGCTTCTAATAACTCTTTAACACCCCAACCCTTTTTAGCAGATACTTTGAGTACAGTATCGGGTTCTATATGAAATACTGACTTAAGTTGTGCCTTAACTTTCGCTGGATCAGCTCTAGGTAGATCTACCTTATTTAATGTCGGAATTATGACTAGATTATTCCTTTTGGCAAGTGAATGTACTGCAACTGTCTGAGCTTGAACACCTTCATTTGCATCAACTAGGAGAATAACACCTTGGCAAGCTGTTACACTTCGTACCACCTAAGAAATAAACATTTTTACCTTTAGGAAATTGATAACTTATTTTTTATTAATGACCCGTAAGTAAGTTTCCTAAACTTACCTCATTGGAGAAATCAACATGACCTGGGGTGTCTATAAGATTGAGTAAGTAAGGTTCATTATTGTAAGTATAGTTTAAGGATGCAGTAACAGCTTTCACAGTAATTCCTCTTTCTCTTTCTACCTATAAAAATAAATTAATGAAAAGCATTAATTTTTATTTGTATATAACAATAATAATTAAATAATAATCCATGAGGTTCAATTTAAAAGTACTTAATAGAAACAATGATTTACTTAAGGGTTATTAAGTAAATAGATTAAGGTTGGTCAAAACTAGAAGGTTTACTTGCCTGTAACTGATCCAAAACTTGAGCATTCTCGTTACCTGGTTTGATAACGCCTGTCAGTTCCAGCAAACGATCAGCTAAGGTACTTTTTCCGTGGTCCACATGAGCAACTATACTGAAGTTCCGAATTCTCTTTACATCAATTTGCTGTAGAGTTGTTTCAGTGCTATTCAGTCGACAGATGCTGCTAGACAAAAACATTAAATTTACACATTCCCATACTTTAGTAATTGGAAAAGTAAAGGATGTAAATAAAAATCAAAGTTTATTTGTAAAAAAATAATACTGTACCATTTGTGTATCTGATTTCTTCTAGTAATAAGAGGAATGAAGTGTATATTTCTTAAATTCATCATAGTTTTAGAATTCAATATAGACTTTACCTAAAAAGTAACCTTTTATTCTTAATATAAAACATTTACTATTTTTATCTAGAACGGACACGAATTCTGGTTGTTCTTTATCCGTTTTTTACAATTTCATAATAAAGATGTAGATTTAATAAGACTTTGTAATTAAAAATATTTTAAACATAGTGTTTATTTAGTATAATATGAAATTCTACAGGGCATAAACATTACACAGATAATATTTAAAAAAATAACTCCTGGATTATCTATGTTGAAAAAACAGATAAATGGTGCAAAGAAACAGATTACTTGATATTACCCCAATATTTATTTCTTCGGGGTCAGTTTTAACATTTAATAAAAAAAAACTACTGAGCATTAGTCACATAAGATTGTTTAAGCGTCTAAGGTTTAAAAACAACAACTATATTGTCGAGTATAACAATGTCAAGTGTATGACAACTTAGCAGAAGCCTATTTTGTTGATTTGTCAGACAGCCACGTCATTTTTGCTTTGGACGAGGTTGATGGGCTTTTAGTTTACGCGGCGTATAATTTTAAGTTAATTTAAAAATATCTAATCATGAATATATTCAGATTACTTGCCGATCTATCGCATTTGTTGGCCATTATAATTCTGTTACTTAAAATATGGAAAACAAGATCATGTGCAGGTAATGAGAAAACCGGCGTTCATTTGGGTTTACAGTGTAATATGTTTTGTCTCATGGAATGTGTTTTCAGGAATATCGGGAAAATCACAAATACTTTTCTCTATTGTCTACACTGCTAGATATTTGGATTTATTAACAACTTATGTGTCGGCGTATAACACTGTAATGAAGGTGGTGTTCATTGTGGCTTCATATGCTACTGTTTATCTGATGTATGTGAAGTTTAGAGCCACTTATGATCACAACCACGACACTTTTAGGATTGAATTTCTGCTGATACCATGTGTAATACTGGCTCTGCTGATAAATCGAGAATTCACATTTTTAGAGGTAAATTAATTTATTTTGAGTAACACCAACTTACTTGTTAAAATACATTCAACTTATATTTGTTTTACAATTTAAGGTCTTATGGACATTCTCAATCTATTTGGAGTCTGTGGCTATTTTGCCACAATTGTTTTTGGTGTCAAAAACTGGAGAAGCTGAAAGTATTACATCGCATTACCTCTTTGCCCTGGGTTCCTATCGTGGACTGTATCTATTGAACTGGGTATGTACATTGTTACAAAATAAACTGTATTCATAAATACATTAGGATTGATTATTAATTAATTTTGCTTCCAGATTTACCGCTACATCGTCGAGGATCATTATGAGTTAATAGCCATCATAGCTGGTGTCGTTCAAACAGTTTTGTACTGCGATTTCTTCTATCTTTACATTACAAAAGGTATTTTGTGATTTTATGATTAGACTTATAAAGAACATAAAAAATACAGGCACAAATTTTTCCATCATGCTGCTACTAATGGGGATATGGGTGAAATAATCAGCAATTTATGTGGACTAACCCTGACCGTTAAACAGAAAATAATTATAATATTGCTAGTTAGCTAAGGTCGCAAGTATTTTATTACTGGTTTTATAGCTACCATGATTGAGCCCTACATTGATTTGTGAAATTTATTTTTCAGTCTTGAAGGGGAAGAAACTACAGCTGCCTGCATAAAATAGTTAAAGGTGCATTATCTATACACATGTCTCCTAAGATATTTAAATAAGTCAATATTACCTAAGATTTAGTTAACTGGACAAAATTTGTATCGAAAACTAATCTCGTGGCGTTGTTAACACTGTTGTTTGCAGCATGTTGTTTATCATATTGCTAAACCAGTTTTTAATAACTACGTTCTTTAAATAACCTGAATTAATTAATCGAATTACTCTAATGTACGTAATTGTATGTTGATACAATTTATTTCACATAACTAGATGAATTGCATAACAAAAATAGTATTATTACTATGACATGACCATAAAAAATTGTAGACAGAATTTTATATTCCCTACAATATGCATACTAAATTATGTATATGATTAGATTACGTAAACTTTGCAAAACTTATAAAGTGTGAAGCCAATGTAGGCATGTTACAATAATATTGTGGTTGTAACATTAACTAAAGATACCTACCTAGTAAATAAGTATAGTTCCACATTGGTGATTTATCTTCCAAATTAATCCATTACAGATAAGAGGTCATTGTGTGCATGGTTCTAGAATTTGGTGTGAAGCAATATTTTAAATGTTGAATTAAATACAGCTTAACTTTAAAAATTGTTTTATTAATATAGCCATTAAGGTTTTAATACAATTTTGCAATAAGTACTTGTGAATAAAATTTGGAAGTAATTTTTGTATTTTATTTTCATAACAAAACAGGTTCCAAATAAACAACAATTTTCATTAAACTTAACCAGAACTACATAGTAGTTGTGCATATTTCACAAAATCTGCTATATGTACTTGTTCCTGTAAAAAAAAAAAACAAATTTTAACTGTATTTAACAAAGAATAGTAATCTTAAATGTGAACTGTGCTCATTTATATTTCACTGATAAGCTTTCAAATAGAACAATCAACGACACTTGCGCCCTTATCTATTTACATGTATATTCAATTTATATCATTTGAAAGTTATGTTATTCTTTTCTATAAAAGGTTATGGTATAACAAAATTACATTTGCTACACTAGCTCAGCCCCCCGATATTTAAAACACGAGTTAAGAAGATTCATACCATTGAAAGTTTGCACATTTGTATAGACATTTCTATTAATGAAATTCCTTATCAATCCCAAAAGAACTCTTGGGATATTCCTGGGTGCACAGAAATTAAAGTTTGGTGATGACGTTTGTATTATAAATTGTTACAAAATCGTATTTATATCGGTCAAGTTATTTGAGCTTCAAAGGAAGAGGAAATCATACATTATTTGACACAAACTTTTGCATTGATAATATTTATAAAAAATATACCTTTAACATTGTACTGCTGTTAAGTAAATGAAAAATTCCATTTATAAGAGTTTCATTGTTTAAAATAGCTGTATATGGAACACCAATCTTCAACTTTTCTGCTATCTGAAGGCAAATTGAACATAAGTTAATGTTATATTATTCAGTAATTTAGGACAAATAGTTAAATATCATTTTGACCCAAATCTCTGCGAGGAGGAAATGGGGAAATGGGTGAAATGGTCAGCGGACAACGTGGACTGATCACCCGTCCTGCCAAGGGTGCCCCTGATAGAAAATAATAATAATTATCATTTACCTGTTGGTTTAATGACAGCTCAAAATCAGGTAAGCATGATTTTATCCCTACTAATTTTAGTTTGCTTTCCAATAGCATTGCTAGTTCTTTTAAGTTGTTACACTTTTCTGCATCTGTTAATATAAGAAAGGTACAAAAATTTTTCCTCATAGATTAAATATAAAACATTTAATGAAAGGAGGATATAGTTACCTGTACTGTTTACTGCTATTGAAATTTTATATGGGGCCATCTTGTTGTGCAACCGAAGATAATGGTCTGAATTCCGATTTAAAGATGCATCAAGCAATAAAGACAATAGTGCTATTTCCAAAGACATACTACATGTTAATGTGGCTGTCAGTTCAGAATCCTAAAAAAAAATTATGGTATTACATGATGTATTTAAATAGGTAATCTTAACAGTTCTTTGAATTTAACATACTTTATTTTTATGAAGGGATAGGCATTCTACAGTCTTTTGGCCACAGTTATAATTAGCAGTTATTTGTGTATCCACTGTAGTGGCTTCATATTTCATATCATTGATTGCAAATAAGCTTGGTGTAGTTGTGATCTGAAAAAGATTAAGAAGTCATAGAATATGTTTTGTATCACCTTGTGTTTGCTTCTATACTTCTTTCTGGTTTCTGGTTTTATTAATTTGTTTTCAACTAAATGGAACAAGTTATAAAGAATAACTTGTTTTATGTTATACAATTCCTGCAATATTGATACACATTTCGTTGACTTACAGAACTCCACCAATATTTCCTGTATCGCTGCCATTGGAAGAAGTATTGCATTACATCTTGTTTAGGGACAATAAGACTAAATTTCACTTGTGATCTACAATCAATTGAATATGTATTGGCTTCTTGTTTTAGCACAAACTCCTCAGGATATGAATCAAATGTTTTTTCAATAGCACCATAGCAAATATTTTTTGTATCTTCTCTTTTGCTAAATAAATACACCGTAAAATTAGACTGTGCTTTGGCATTGATAGACTGCAACCAACTTCTATAAATATTATGCATGACAATTCTGCTTAAATTTTGAACATTATAGACTGATTTAGAACCAGATTTGTATCTGAGCATAAAAAATTGTCCCAAACTCATAATTTTTTTAATTTCTGCTTTCATTTTTATCAATTTCTGCATTTTCTTTTTCTTCTACTTCATGTAACGGAATATTTCCTGGAGGTGCAACAAAGTAGTCATCATCTTTTAGAACTGCATTTTTCAAAATATCTACTTGGCAATTTCCTTGTGTGATAACATCATTACGAAGTTTTAAATTTCTGAAAGCAGTCAAAATACTAGGTTACTGTTCATTACATCCCTAAATATAATGCAGAGAATACTTGTAATATACAGCATATTTAATTAAAATGCATGATATAATTAGAAGCTTTAAAGGTAATTACTTACTCATTTTCTAACACTGTGTATAGAGGTTCTACTTCAGTTGTGTCTATATGCAAGATTTTACTAGCAAAATCTATTGAATCTTCCAGTACTTTTTTACCTTGATTTGTATCAAATTTCACTAAAGATAATCTCTCTAAAAGAGCAATTGTATTCTGGTCCAAATTTGTTTTTGGTATATTTGTACTCTCTAGGGTTTCAACAGGTTTAGTTGGAACCTTAGAATAGTTTCTTAAGATTTGGTAATTATATAAATGAGAGCGGTTAATATCTCTTAATATTGAGGTGACGGCAAACCTATAAGACATAGCTTCGAAATCAAATAATAATAATCGCACTGTTTTATTACCAACGACCCTTAAGGCTTTATCTATTAACCCAAGTTTTACAGCGATGTTAGAGCATGACAGTAATGTTACAAGCAAACGTATATTTCTAAAGTTTACGTTTTACGCTTGGTAAAGTAAACAATCATGCGAAAAGGAAAACTAACTCTAATAATTTAATCCTTGTTAAAATAAGAATCAAATAATATACAGTCTATTATAATTGAAATAAGCATCTGTCAGTTGTCACATGGAATATAAATATTCTGAGCCACAGACTTGCTTGTTTAAAAGTATTCTGTGAATATGCATTAGTCAATTGTCTAAATTGACAAAATCAGCTGATATTTTGAAGTTTTTAAGAAAGTGAAAAAAGGTTATCCGAAATGTTCATATTTATGTAAATAGAGTAAATAATATAGTAGTAAATTGACAAATAATCCCTGGGTGTTATCAAACAGTAACAAACAACAGATTTTTGCCACATTTTAGACAACCATGAAGAAGTATCCTCGTACTATAATATACGATAAATTACACAAAGGATTTGTGCTCTGCTGCGTTGGTTTAACGTTATATGGGTCTGTAATATTAGGTGACCATGTCTACAAATATTTTACATATAGGAGACCTTTGATTCAAGCCGCGAAAGCTGCAGCGGAGAAAGAAATGCTAGCGGAAGGATCATCAGAGAAGATCTTATAATTTGTATTATGACCTGGAGTATTGTATATAAGTTTAATTATATAGGTTGTAGATTGCTTAATAAAATGTAAAAATTATGTAGATATTTTATTTAATAGTTTTATGGTAACGAAAAGCCAAATGCAGCTTTCCTATTTGCATAATTTGTGTTGAGTCAGATTTAAGTATTAACATTTACCATTGCAGTAAATAATTAATTTAATCCGATAAAGTTCTGACACTCAGTATTATGTTTATTATTGCTTAAATAAGCATTAGAATGATTCTGAGTACATAGTGACATAAATTTAAATTACAGTGTAAACATTTTATTCCCAATGACAAAGATGGTCGCAATTCAGTTTGTTTACCTCGAACTTCACATATTGACAGCTAATATAATGGTTACTCTATAAGCATAAGTAAATATTAGGTTCCATGAGTTTCATCAAAAAGACATTAAACTGTGTGTAAAATTATACTCTAACGGTAGATTGGATGTTTCCTGACATAAGTAACTAACTCAAACTTAAATCCTATCTTCAGTGGTTTTTTTTACTAGTTTCAATATATTATTATTATCTTTTGAAACAATTAGATGTACTAAAACCTGAATCATACTCTTTAATGAACACATTAAGTAATACACCAACATCACTTTTTCTTTGATATCCTAATCTGCTTAGTTTTTTCTTTTTAAGTTTTTGGGTATGTCTACCATTTAATATCTATACGAATAATATAACGCTAAGGAGTTTGTTTGAAGGCGCTTATCCCAGGAACTGCTTGTTTGACTTGAAATATTTATTTTTGTGTTGGTTAGATCAATTATCGAGGAAAGCGAATAAGGACTGAAGAAACAGTAAAAAAATGGACAAAAAGGGGAAAATTATTCATCTTTGAGGTACTTTGTTGCATGCGAAAACGATTCAAGATGCCAAAATTTTTATTTTTAATAATCTTAATATATCCGCGACAGTATATGTTAATATCAGCTTTTAGTCGGCAACACATTATATGCCAAAAGAACGTTTGCCAGATATGTTAGCATTTTCATAATGTGCAGAAATAATATTTTAAGAAGCCGTTATGAATAAAATCTAAGTAGCCTTGCAAAATTGACAAATATTAAATTATTTTTTAAGATAATAAAAAACGCAACGCTCTACATCGAGTAGGTACAATTGTGTACAATCAGCGTCAGCGTTTTCGTTCCTGAATCGCGATGATAAACTATTGTAGGCGACTGTCCGCTTGGGGCTTTTGTAACTTTTAATGAACGTTAAACAATTGAATTTGCAAGCGTGTAAATTTTATTCATATGAAAATCTATTTAAATTAATTTCACGGTTGTCGAAATTGGGCGAGGTGTATGAGGCAGTGATGCGATTGATATAGGTTACCGTCACAGAGTGTGGGTACCTTTATGGTAACGAGTCCCCCTCGTTATATAAGTGGGTCAGCCTTCTAGATAAGATTGAAATGGGAGCTGTTAAAAGGTATATCAAACAGGTTTTACAAAGTACTGTCTGTAGTTTACACATTTGAATAAAATACTTTTTACGGTTTAAATAAAAACACTAGATACCAAAAACAGCATAACGGTGAACGAAAGAACCCAGCCAGGTTCACTAAATTCCAACTAACTAACAGATGGCGATAGCGTATCAGTTTTTTTCTTTTACATTAGGGACACCGTCCATTTTCCCCGTGACGACTGCTTATAATAAATTGTAAATAAGTTGTGTATGCGTAATGTATGAGTTCAATTCGTCTTTAAACAGTTAAAAGTATTTTATTTAAAAGCGATTACGATACATTCAAAACTGGTCTTTATGCAGGGCTTAATTTATAAAACGGCTCCTACGGTGGGGCGTCGATACGTCGTCGGCGTCGATTGCTTAGTATCAGTAGACGTTTCTCGAATGTATACTTAATTGGTCCTCAAATGCGCTGGTTCTATGTTCTACATATCCTTTAAGTAGAAGCAACTCGACCAGAGAGTCAAGATAACATGAATATGAAAATCTTAAATAATAATAGTCTCGTAAGTGCCATCGATGCACATACTCAATAAATGCCTACTAAAATGATCTCAAGTCCCCATTTGGTACTTTTCCAACGAACACTTTCATACCTACTTATCTACCTACAAAAGCAGAGTGCTAAAAGTCTTGAGCGCTTTAATATTTTTTCCAAAGTTCTTTTATGAATTTTTTATCTCCAGGGAAGATTTGTTCATAACTTCTAAATTATGGAATACTTATCATCGTCCGGACTTAGTGGAAAAAGCAATAAAGGTGTCTTCATCCAATCTCGGACTGGAATATTTGGACTTATACCTTATTCATTGACAGATGGCTTATAATTCAAATACTATGTAGTACTTTAGTATATATTATCAAGAATAAAACATTTCAGTTTACGTTTAGGCATATGGAGTTGATTGGAAGGTAGGTGAAAATGCGTCAGTACATAATAACATATAAGTGACATTTTGGGCAAATCTATGGATGGTGGTTCTCGACACGGGCGAAGTTTCGTTATTCTACACACCATTTAAAATACAGATTTCCAGACGTAATATCTTAATATATTTAGTCCTATATTATACCTAGCATTTGTCCAACAATCTTATTTTTTAAAAATCGAAAATAAATTGAAAAAATTTTCGACTCGGGCAGGACTTGAACCGGCATCGTCAGCTTTCCGTGCTGTTGCTCTACCAATTGAGCTACCGAGTCCTACACCTCATCGTCGTATCGGTGTAGGACTCGGTAGCTCAATTGGTAGAGCAACAGCACGGAAAGCTGACGATGCCGGTTCAAGTCCTGCCCGAGTCGAAAATTTTTTCAATTTATTTTCGATTTTTAAATTATATAGTGCCTTCATGTGCAATAACATGTGAAAAATATTAATGTTTTCAAACGTTATAACTTTGTAATTTCATCTTCAATGATTTCTTAAGCTGCAAAGCATAAGACATTGAGCCTTAATACGCAAGTGTTAAGGTAGAAATTACATTGCGCGAGAGGTGCATGTATCAATAAGTTGAAAAAATTCGACGATGAGGTGTAGGACTCGGTAGCTCAATTGGTAGAGCAACAGCACGGAAAGCTGACGATGCCGGTTCAAGTCCTGCCCGAGTCGAAATTTTTTTCAATTTATTTTCGATTTTTAAATTATATAGTGCCTTCATGTGCAATAACATGTGAAAAATATTAATGTTTTCAAATCTTATTTTTTCCATTAAAAAAGGATCCTTCCCTTTACAACAAAGTGGTAGTTATTCGAGCATTGTATACCAGTATTATGTGAAAAGCGATGAAAAACTCGTTGAAAACAGTTTATGAAAAAGACGCCTACTTTTATTTTGGTCTTAGCAAGTTCAATTCAAAACAGATCGATCTTGTTTTCAAGATCGCTAAAATTAAGGCCGTTACTAACCAGGTGAGAATAACGAGGTTTTTAAAATGAAAGCGTTTTATTGTAACCTGTCTGCCCGTGATTTTCTTTTAAAAATTGTGTAAACGACACGCTTTGTTTGCGTAGTTAAGGTTTCCTTCAGTTTTTTAAAAGTGTTTTCGTTTTGTTTTAAACTTCGAGTAATTATTTTACCCGTTTGTAACACCAGAACGATAGAATGTAAAGAAGTATAAACTTTTTCGAGTTTCACACTTTGGTTGATTGTGTGTGGAAGATCGTTTTATAAGCGCGGGGCGTGGGTCAGACCCTGTATGTTTCTTTAATTAATTTATTTCCTTCATTAATTTACAAAAAATCTCTACAAACACTTATGAATTTTAATAAGTTAGGAAAAACTATTATGGACAGCTATAAGTTTGAAAGTATTATTATTTCTATATTTGATTATTTTGCAGGTCAGAAAAATTCGACGACTAGGGAGGAACGCGAACCCATATCGACAGTGATCTGTGCTGTTTGAACAACCACGTGCGTTTGTGCGTCCACAGTATTGTATGACAAGGACTACAGTTGTGGTAAGAGCAATTTAAATTCTATACTAATATTATAAATGCGAAAGTAACCCTGTCTCTCTGTCCGGCTTTAACGCCGAAACTACTAAACTGATTTAAATGAACTTTGGTTCACAGATATTTTAGAGCCTGAGAAAGGACATATACTTTTTAATGCCAAAAAAGGGCGGTTAAGGGTTGGAAAGGGGGATGAAAGTTTGTATGGAAATTCATGGTTATTGAAGCTAGAACAATGAAACTTTCTTCTTTGGCTTTTTGGGAGTGGGAGTTAGAGTAGGAGTGATGTGAGGTGAGAGTCGG